TTTGAGACAATGTTTCTCTGTAGCTTTGGAGCCTGTTCTTGAACTCACTCTGTAGACCAGGCTGGTCACGAACTCACAGAGATCCACCTGTCTCAGTCTCCCAAATGCTGGGATTAAAGGCGTGTGCCACCACTGCCCTGCACTCAAGACTCATTTTAAGAGTCACAATTTCAGAGATCTCTTTCTTAACCACCTCCTCTATGCCCGCACTTTACAGTTATCTTTCAGTTCATTTATTATTATTTCGTATATTACTTTCTTCACAGTATCACTGGAAGACAACTCGGCTCATTTCCTGTTTCCTACATAATGCTCTGTCTTCATCCACCAACCAGAGTAAAGTAGAAACCCCATCTTTCTTGTTTACCACACGAAACTCCTGAACTTGGCACACCGCCATCCTCAGTAAAGATTTACGAATGTGATAAATAATGAGTGCCACCTGTTCTGGAAAGTCTTAACTGCCCGGCTGGATTAAATACTCTTCCGTTGAACTTCTGTTATCCTCTGGGCACACTTCTTTGTGCACCATTTGAGCTATACAGTCATTGATAATTGCACTATTTTAAAAAAAAAATCTTTCACACACGCTCCCATGGGAGCAAGGCAACATAAGGAAGGAGGAAGACAAGTTCTAACACCCTAAAGAGGGGCAGGTTTAGAAACCAAACTGAATTGTTGGTGGGCATGCTCAGACATAGCGTTTTCAGCTCACTTCCCTTTAAGAATTCTCCAAGGGCCTGGGGACCTCGAGCCTACTTTGGAGCTTAGCAATAGGCCACTAAAAAGGATGGCAGCTCCCCTGGGTTGGGTGAGGTGGAAGGATTGACTCCAGAAGCTCTTTAGGAAACTCTGAGCTGAAATTCTACTTGGTGAGATTGAGGGGTTTTGATGCAAAGGAGTCTGAGAGGATGTGAGGCTCAGCACGCTGTGTTTGGGATTCTGAGTAGGATCCCCGGGTAGGGCAGCAAATGCTGGAGATGTGGTGAGTCTTAGCCTTCCATGCACTACGATGGAGTGTCAATACACAAATCGGTAAGTGAGACCGAGCCCCTCTGCTGATGCAACATCAACCACAAAGTGGCAGAAAACCTAGAAGCCATTTTACCAAGGAGAGGGCTCTAGGAGAAAAAGCCCTAATGTGGTGGTTAAACATTTAACTGGTTACATTCCTAAGCAAAGCTGTGTAAACCAGAGGGGACAGAAACAACTGGTGAACCTGAAGTTTCTCCCCATTCTACTCTTTCCTACACATTATCTGAGGTAGAAACTATAAAGCTCGGACTTCTGACAGAAAAGAGTTGTGCTGTAGTGTGAAAGCCAGGCCCTTGCTCCTTTTCCTCTCTTTCCCCAACTTCTAACCTAGACGACATACTCTTTGGGGATAGAGTCCATGTTGTCCAATTCTTTTTTTTCCCCCTGTTGTTTAGAACACATGGGAGCCACAAACAGAAGCTGCAGTTATAAATTTACAGTTTCTGGTAACCATGTTAAAAATTAAAAAGAAACAAAATTAATAAGGTATATTTAACCCAAGGTGACCAAAATGTTATCATTACAAATATATAATCAATTTTAAATGATTGAAATATTTAACCATCGCTCCCTCTCCTCTGTGTGTGTGTGTGTGTGTGTGTGTGTGTGTGTGTGTGCATGCATGCATGCATACATACTAAGTGTACCTGGTTTTCAAGATCTGGTTAGCATCTGTAATGGCTTTTACATGTAGTTAATGTTTGCCTTATTAACAACGTAAGTTTCATCAATTCCTGCCACAGAGCAAATAGAGAGTAAATGTTTGTTTAACGAGTGTATTTCTAATACTGAATGTTGTCATTATGTCTCCCGGCTCCTTAGCAAGCTTCATTTTCCTTCCAAAGTAGGGCATTACAACAGGTTACACTTCCTTTGATGAATGGCATTTAAAGTGCTTGATCAACAATGTTTACACCACTGAGTTTTAAAACACTTTAATAGAACATATATTTTAACAAGTCTTACCCAGGTTATTGACCTGACTGTGCTTTGTCAAAAATTGTGGCTCAGAAAACTTGAAATCTTTTACCTAACAAGTGCATGTATATCTTGCTATCACTAGTAGACAACAGCTGATATTTTTAGTCTAGTATATTCTACTATACTATTTCATAAAATCTTAGTCTTCTCTCTCTTTTTTTTTTAAATTCAATTAAGATGCTTTCCACCTAATCACTACTTTCTTTTGCTGTCCATTGCTCAACTTAGTAATGATCACTATGACTACTTTGGTTGGTTGGTTGGTTGGTTTGGTTTTTTTTTTTTTTTTTTCCGAAACAGGGTATCTCTTCGTAACAGTCCTGACTGTCCTGGAACTCGCTCTGTAGACCAGGCTGGACTAGAACTCACTGAGATCCACCTGCCTCTGCCTCTTGAGTGCTGAGATTAAAGGCATGCACCACCACTGCTGGGTTGATCACTTTGTTAAATTGAAAATTAATTAGATCAAAAAGGCAGAGAGGGCCTGGTGGGACTTTTGGCCCTTGCTCTCCCGGTAACTTACGCCAGTGCTCTACAGTGGCTTCCACATCCAACATATCTTGATACTTCACTGCTGAGAATGTTACCAGGTCATGTGAACTGGAATGAGCTACAGTAGAAGACCTTGTAGACTGGCTGATTAGAAGAACCTTTGTGTTTATGGGGACTTGGAATGTTGAAGATCCAGGGCCAAAAAGATCTTAAGCTAACTTTAGCTCCCTTTATATCCTTTGTATCTCTGCCCTGATGATTACCAGGTAAAACCTCCCACAGGAGGCCCAGCAGTGGTGGTACACACCTGTAATCCCAGCATTTGGAAGGTAGAGACAAGTGCATCTCTGTGAGTTCAAGACCAACCTAGTCTACAAAGCCTGTTCCAGGACAGTCAGGGCTACACAGACAGACTCTGTCTTGAGAGAAAAAACAAAAACAGAAAATCTTCAGCATATATTAACAAGCAGGTAACTACTTTCCACCAACCCAAATGAAGAATGTCACCACACAGCACCTAAGACCCATACCAGACTCTCCTGCTTTGCTGTAACCTAACATTCCCACCACATGTTTGATAAATGGATTCACTGTTTTTGCTCTAAGGCTGTAACAGTTCATGTGACTTCTTCTTCATTGATGGACTATGTCTTTCAGGAAAATACAAACCCATATTCCCAGGCATGGTTACTCATATTTAGCTCAGAAGCAAAACAAAATAAAACAGACAGCCCAGCTCTTATTCCCTTTGGCGCAAGAGCACTTTTGCTTAGAGAGTCAGCATCTGTAGTGTACAATAAACTTCACATAGCAGCGATAGTGTGAAATACAGACTTACCAATGTCCCTTACCAATAGCTCTTGTGTGAGTAACGGAACTGAGATAGGAAGGATTACTAATATAATTCCAAAGCTCCTTTAGTCGCTGTCACCAAAGCTAAGAAGTACAGTTTCTCTATTTGAGTTGGAGATTAGAACCCTAGTTTTGCTTTTAAAAAATATTTCATGGTGTACACAGTATTGGATTTCATGTCGACAAGTTATTTCAAGTATGTCATATGTCTATTCGAAGGCAGTAATTGTCATCCTTCAGATTCTCCCATGGAACATTCTTAGTGTTTGAACTTCTGCTTTCTGGGATGGTGAGAGGGTCCTTATCCTTTGATTCACTATGCTGAGAATTATGGTACCGTTTTTTTGTCACTGAAAAAAAAAAAAGTGTTTTATTTGGTAGCTACCACATTTAGCTCAGTGGGCCAGATACCTGCCTCCCACCCCCGCCCGCGCCCCAAAGAGTCACTGAACTGGATCAGCTGCCCTTCTTGGCCAGGCCTGCATCATCCTCACTGACGCCTAATCCCCCAAATACCATATTTTAGGTTTACTCAGGAAGAACTGTCTCGATAGCAATTTCTTTCCGGAGCCAAGGCAGTTCTGAAGTGGGGGTACTTAGGACACTTACAAATTTAGGAATTCTGGGTTAAAGCAGTGTGTGCTTTAACTTGTGATGCAGGCAGGCACACCTTGCTGCTCCGGAAAGTAGAAAACGTCGAGATTGAATTCAAATGGAAAGTAGAAAACGTCGAGATTGAATTCAAATCAAGTATTCCAGGCGTCTCGCAGGAGAAGCGTAGCTGTGGTTGCTAGGCAACCTGGCAGCCTCCCCAGCAGGGACCAGCCGGCCTCCCACACTTTGACCACCTCTCCCCAGCAGTGGGACGCGGAGTCGCCATTGGTCCCCGCCTTCTCTCACTGACCTTCCATTGGTCCGAGAACCTCTCACTCCGCTCCCGTTGGCTGTCGCCGTCTCTCGCCGTCCCGCCATTGGCGGGCGCGCTCTCGGGCCACCCTACGTCACCGTCTCACCCCACTTCCCCCGGGTCCTCCGACTTCGTCCCCGCCCCTTCCCCCGCCCTTCCAGCCGCGAGGGGGAAAACACCCTAGCGAGGCGCCGCCTCTCCTTTCCTTCCCATTGGCGGAAAGCGGGTCGGGGGGCGGGCGCGGCCGGACGAGTCTGAGCGCTGTGATTGGCTGCGGTGGCCGCCGCCCCTCCCCCTGCCGCCTCCGGGGCGGCGCCGGAGTCGGGCGAGTGGGTGGCTATAAAGCTGCTGCTGCGGGCGGGCGGGCGGCACGGCGCGCTGTCCTCCGTGGGTCGCTGCTCCCTTTGCCCGCGGTCCGGTCGCGTCTGGGTGAGTGTCCCGCGCGGGGCGGGGCGGGCCCGGGCGGGCCGGGCCGGGATAGCCGCCGGCCGAGGCGCCGCGGGCGGGGAGAGCGGGGAGGAGGAGGCGCTGTCCTTGACTAGGCCGGAAGGCGAGCGCTCCGGTCCCGGAGGAGCGGGCGCCGGCAGTGGGGTTGTGCGGGAGCTTGCAGGCGGGGGGATGGCGGGGAGCCGAGGCCATGCGGGGCGGGGAAGGGGACCCGGGCTCCGCTCCGCTGCGGTGCGGTGCGGCGCGGTGGGCAGGCGGGGCGCCGGGAGAAGGCAGAGGGCGTTGGGGGCTCGGTGTTCTGATGACACAGTCAGAAGCCGGAGTCGCCTCTGAGGTAGCTGTGACCACCGAAGTGGGGGCGTCATCGGGGGTTGAGGAGGGGGCTGGGCTGTCAGAGTTCCTCCGGTCAATGGTGGACCCCAAGGGGATGAGGAAGCTCAGGCTCAGGTGGAGGCTGGGAGGCTGGCAGGGGGTGTGTCCGGCCTCGGCAGACGGCGTTGATGAGAGGAAGTGGGGAGCGTTACTTTCCCCCAATTCAGGTGCAAGAAATCACAACTGTGATTTAGACCTAGCCTAGGACTGATGCTCTGGACACCTTTGGTATGTAGCTTGCTTAAAATCACCAGTGAGCTCGAGTCCCCTCTTCCCTCCCTCCCTTCTTTCTCCTCCCCGATCCTCCTCCCCCCCCCCCCCCCCCCCCCCCGTTAATATATCCAGGACCCACTGTTAATAACAAACAGCCTTAAGTGCCATAAGGATGTGATGGCCCTACGCCCACAGAACCGATCACACAGACAGACTTTGGGTTAAGTCAAGGGAATTTCAAAGCCAAGTGTATGGGAATCTTGAAAATGCGACCGTGTTTGATCACTGGTAGAGAAAGAACTGCTTTGCACATTCTGGAGGAGGGAATTGGGGAATAGCTGTCGGGAGGTTGTCCTTCATTCCAAGTTTGCCCCTATGGCCTTGGCCTAAGCTGCAGCAACCCCTCCCTCCTGCTGGTGATCTGGCCTCCCCAGGATCCAGATGGTTCCTTGATTCTGATGGCTGCTAACATTTGCTGTAATTTAGGGATGACTCATGAGGAGCCATTGGCATGCTAACCAACACACCAGTTACAAATTTCTCCCCTCCAAACTGTGGTTTAAATTTTTACTATTCAGATTCCATCGGGTTGAAGACGGCCTGAAAGTCCTCTCCGTGTGTATCCACAGGTGATTCTTTGTCTCTTGAGACTTCTAAGCAGTTTATGGTCTTCAATCAGACTTGGAGATGGAGAACAAGGATAGCCTGTCTCCTGAAAAGGAGAAACTGCCTTTTCTTTGTGTCTAGCCTTGTGGATATTTCTCTCCTAAATTAGCGAATTTTCTCTTGGTGTCATTAGCAATTCCAGTTCTCATATGGCTTGTCTGACATTGGGGAAGAGGGAGGAGAAAGATTTTTGTTGGAAGTCATTGAAGTTTGAGCCTTGCTTTTAATTTTTTTTTCATAAATATCCTTCCTGTTTGCTTATACATATCAACTGATGGACTTATTTTTGAGGATTTTTTTTTTAAACTGAGATTTTAGATACATTGTTTTCAGAAGAAATGCAAAATCCAAGACAATGATAAAACTTGGGTTTTCTGGATCTTCTAGAATGAGTTAATACCTGGCTGGACCTTTCATTATCCACTGGAGGTGTGGTTGAAGGAGGTGATGAACCCTGTATCAGAGTCTACACAGTTTTCCATTTATGTAAGCTGAAGAGGTTTTTATGGTGATAGTTTTATTTAGAAAGGGAATATAACCTCACCACTTGATTTTGATCTTAGAAAGCCTTATAGTAGATAGCTATGCACTCTTTAGATTAAAAAGATTGAGAAATGCCAGGTGGTGGCCGCATGCCTTTAATCCCAGCTCTCGGGAGGCAGAGGCAGGCAGATCTCTGAGAGGTCAAGGCCAGCCTGGTCCACAGAATGAGTGCCAGGACAGACTCCAAAGCTACACAGAGAAACCCTGTCTCAAACCTTCACCCGCCCCATCCAAAAGAAAAAAAAAAAGTTGAGAAACATGTTACCTAATTAATGGCTTCGTGCTAGCACTATAGTAATAGTCTTAATCTGCTTAGCCTAGTGCTTGGCACATGTTGCTGTTCCCTTAATGTCTGTCAACTGAGCAATAAAGAGAAAGTAGCCTTCCAGAGCACACTCTGTAGGGTTTGTGGGCACGTTGGTCCCTGTGACAATGAGTAGAAGACTGGCAAATGTCCTTTTCTGGTTATGTTTGGGTTCCTTACTTTGTTCAGATTGGGATCTGGGAATGGTTCAAACCCTTTCCTTTAAACAGTAGTGGTAGAGAGCCAAGTTCTTTAAACCCCTAGACACTGTATGGCTCTGTAAGCTTATCTCAGAAGTGATGGCAAAAGCTTACTGGTGGTGGGTACTCAGGTACTTGAATCTTTAAAAAAAAAAAAAAAAAAAAAAAGTCCTAGAATTATTATAACTCTAAATTCAGCCAGTCTTTCAGTGCCCTTTTCTCTACCAATGGTCAAAAGAATCAAATAAGCTGGCCATGGTACATACTTTTAAATTCAGTATTTGGTGAGGCAAATTCAAGATATCTTGTATCTCTTTAAGTTCAAGACCAGCCTAGTCCACATTCTGAGTTACAGGACAGCTAGGCTACATAGAGAGACCCTGACTCAAGAAACAAAAAAGAATCAAAACACACTGTCCAATGTAGACTCTTCTTAACTCGTATTTCAGTAAAGCAGGTTATGCACACTTGTGTGTGCATGATGCATCTGTATAGGAATATAAGTCCTTGACTAGGAAATTCTGCAAATTTGTCTAGGAAAGTTTTCTAGAAAAGATAACTTAGAAGAGAGGCTTGAAGGATGAACAGAGGCACCCAGCCCCCACCCCATGTGATGTTTCAGCGAGTGGAGCACTTGCCACCAAGTGTTAATACCCGAGTTCAGCCCCCAGGACATGAAGGTAGAAGGAAGGAAGCCATCATGGCAGGTTGTCCATTGACTCTCTCTCTCTCTCTCTCACTCTCTCTCTCTCTCTCTCTCTCTCTCTCTCACACACACACACACACACACACACACACACACACACAATAAATGTAAATAGAATCTCTGACTGGCAGATGAATATTTCTCCGGCGCTGTGTGTGTGTGTGTGTGTGTGTGTTTACTTCCAGATCTATATGCAAATGTGCAGGTGAGGGTAAACACTTAACAGATTTTGCTTAGGTCCTCCTTAAAGATGATCATTCTAAATAGCCTGGTTTTCTCTCTAGTAACAATGCAAGAGGTCAGCAAATAACTGCTTACAGTTAGTTAGGTACCAGTGTGTACTAGAGTAGTTTGGGGAGTGAGCTAAAAGGAGAAATTCTGTTGAGTAAATGCAGTAAGTCTCATTAGTTTTGGCCAAATTCAGAATGCTGTATTGTGATTTGTGAGTCTCCAAGCCTTTGTTGTGGTGAGTGTGGCTGCTTGCAGTTAACTGTTAACTGCATCTTGATCCATGTTGATTTCTCTTATCATTTGCTCTGAAGAGTGTTATAGTATGATGACTTCCTTTAGACTTTGGCACTGTGTATCCTTTATTAGAAATGCTTGGGTCTGGAAGTAAGTGCTACATATTGGCCTGTGTGTGTGTGTGTGTAAGGAAGGAAGTGAGGGAGGGAGGGAGAGATTGATTTTGTAGATAGGATGTTTCACATATATTTTACATGTGAAACCTGAAGATACAGTATTTGTAGTGTTGCATGTATTTTGACTGACCTGTCACATGAGTTTCAGGTGAGTTTTCTACACATAGTATCATGTCAGCATTCAAAAAATTGGACTTTGGTGCACTTAGGTTTCAAGTTTTTCCGATTAAAGACACAGAACTGCACTTTCCCAGCAGCTGTAGAATAGAATCAAAAGCTTAAGCCTCTCTGATAGTTTCTTCTCCCAAATGCTGTTTTGCTCCTTTCTCTCTTTAAGACATCATATGGACTATGCCATCTGTAATTAGCACCACAGCCCTCTCTGACTCTGCATTAATGTGCGCAGGTTCCCCACCTGCCACCTACTTTTTCTGACCAGTTTAATCAGAATAGAAAGAACACTGAGGGTGTAGCCAGTGTTTGACTAGCATAAGGGAGGCCCTAGTTTGATCCTAGCACTGCAAAAATAAACAAGTAGAAAAGTAACATTTCAGGGGAAGTGCCTTTGATACAGATTACAGCATGGCTTCAAGAAGTTAATAAGTTACTGTGTCTCAACATGGGGAAGGAATGGTATTTTCTGCCCTACTGAGAAATGGTCTTAATTTCATAGAACACAGCATTATTTGAGACAATAAAGAATAAAAGATAAGCTATATTCTGAAAGTGTAGTATAGTGCTGCAATCAAAGCCCCCCCCCCATTGTAGTAATCTCTTTTCTTACAAATTCAAGGTTTACTTATTCCAGAGCTACAGATGTGACAGTTCCCTGCTTTAAAACATTGGTCTCTCATAAGGAGCATTGGTGCCTGATCTTACCAAGCATTCCCCACGCCTCCTTTTCTCAACAGCTCTTCAGAGTGAGCTAGGAAGGGAGGGGTGCCTTTATTTTTCAGATGAGGAAATTGAGATTCAAAAAGGCACAGATTATTGCTAAAACTCCTTAGTGCAAAGTAGACCATGGCTTTCCTAGCATCGTGGTTCGTAGTCTGGTGATGTGACTTGGTTTCTCAGCAGAGTAGAACCTGCTGCCATAAGGGACTAATCAAGGACAAGTGTTCCATAAACTTGAAGTACCCTGAGCATGGTTGAATTGCTCTTTGCATAATATAATTAATTAGATAAGGAAAGCCTTGTTTTAGCTCTCTTTGAATTTAAGTCATTGCTTTGAGTGGTGCTTTAAGACTTTAAAAGAAGTTCTCATTTGAAACTCCTAGTGCCTGAAGGAGGAGACAGTGACGGAGCTGGAGACTGCAGTTGTCTGTCCTTCGCACAGGTATGGATGGCACCACGCATGTCCTAAGAAAGCTGTTTTCTGTTATGGGAGGGGTGTAATTTCTATCCTGGAGCTAATGACAGTTTGTATGTGCCATATAATCATTTCTTTTCCCTCCCGACTTCTTTCTTTCTGTCACCTGACTGGAATTTTCTATGTAAACCAGGCTGAAAACTTGAAGATCTGCTTGCTTCTCCCTCAGATTTAAGGCTTGTACTGCCATGCCTCAAGCCATGTAGTCCTAAAGCTATTTTAGGGTTATATGTTACCTTTAAAATTTAGTGACTGTGTGGTGATATTTATGATTTATTAAAGCTTGCTTGAGGATTCAGAGAGCAAAGCCAGCCTCAGCTACAGAGAATGGGCAATAGTGTGGTACACACCCTTAATCCCAGTGGATCTCAGAGTCCAAGACCACCCTGGGCTACCAGAGAGAGAATCAGAGCTCACACCTTTAATTCCAGGATTTGAGAGGTATAAAAGGTAGAGGCATTCATTCTGAAACTAGTCTCTAGCCAGCTGAGGAAAACGTAGTGGTTTGAGTGAATCTGAGGAGCAGTGAATTTGGTAGCCAACCAAGGATCTTCCCTTTTGTCTGAGTTGAGGTAGAGGTAAGAGCTAATGGCTGGGGAGAAACTCAACAGTAACATTTAGGCTAGGAATAATATCACTTTTCTGTTCTTGTAAATGCCACCAAGTAATGACTTAATTTTCTTTTGTGCTTGCCATCCTCATCATACTCTTTAGCTGGGTGTTGCTTGGTTGGTGCTGTGTTCCTCCCCCCTCCCCAACCCCATCCCCCTTTTAGAGCTGTTGTATTTCAAATTGGATATTTGTTTACCAGGAACAACTGGAAATTTAAAATATCTCAGCTACTAGAAAGTCTCTGAGAATGTGAGAATGAATAATATTGACCAAATTAGAGAGCATACTTATTGTGTGTATGTACACACACACTCCAGAGTCGTGGACTTGGTTCCTGTGGACTGTTTGAGCTAACATTCTTTTTTTTTTTTTTTTTTTTTTTTTTTGAGAAGGGTGATTTGGTATTTAGCAGCAACATATTCTTAAATCGTCACTTAAATTTACTAGCGGGAAAGTACATTACAACATTTAGAGATTATGTATTTGTTCATTTTATTTCCAACAGCATTGTAGGCAAGGGGGAATGTCCTGCTGTCTTTATCATGATGCAAGCAGTTTGAAGAGCTGAAAAGAACCCGAGGGAGAGAGGATTGGTGAGGGGGTCACTCCCGCCGCCTCTGCCATGGACACTCAAGGGAATCTGTAGACTGGTCACCTACACACTGTCCTAGTATATGGACTAGCTTCCTTCTCTGCATTCTTTGAGTTTCTGGAGGTTGAATTCATGGCCCTCTCTTTTTGTCTTAATGCTAATTTAATTTAGAATCTAAGCCTAGTAAAGGACAACTCCTTTATTTCTTCATTTCAACCTCAGTGTAGTCAAGTGGGTACCACGTTTAGACAATCTAGAATTGGTAGAGAGCTTCTGTAGTCATGCCACGTGAAAACAGTAGGCATGCAAGTGCCTCTCTCTTGTTCCTTTTGATTTGTGACACAGAAAAGGAGCTGAAGATTTAGAAGGTAGGGACTTCTTTATTTTGCTGGGTAGTGGTGGCCCACACCTCTAATCCCAGCACTTAGAGACAGAGGCAGGTGGATCGTTGTTAAATTTGAGGTCAGCCTGGTCTATAGGACCAGTTCCAGGACAGCCAGGGCTACACAGAGAAACCCTGTCTAGAAAAATGTTTTTAAAAAGGATTCTATCTCCTTTACTCTTTTCTTACTGGGCTATCACTAGAATGAACCCCTTGTAATGTAATGTGTGTTGCTGTGTCTTAATTGCTGATGACATTGTTTTATGTAATAAGCACTGAGCCAACATCAGTAATTTAAGGCTTAAAGGATATAATTGGCAAATTATTACATTTAGTTGTTTTCCCATTGAGTAGTATGTATGCTTTGCATGGAAAAATGAAATGTATAAAAGTCTAAGACATGAAGAGATTGAAAGGCACTTAGTTGAGGTCACTGGGTCTATTAATCTGCCTGGACACCATCACAAATTAGTACCATAATCTGGAGGGATTCAAGAACAGATTTTTTTCAATGTTTTGAAGTACAGTTCAAGGTACATGGTCACTTCTATAAGGCTCTTTTGTGGATTGGAGATGAGCTTCTTGTCATGGCCTGTCATGGCAGAGACAGAATGCATGCAAGTAGGCTTGACCCAGCTCTCTGGTGTCTTCTTGTAAGGGTGCTTAATCTAGACTAGAGAGATTGCTCAGTCGACAAAGGCTAGGCTCACAGTTAGAAATACTAGGGCACTAATGAGGAGATCCCCATCCTCATGACCTCACCTCCCAAAGACCATCTCTCCAAATGCCATACAAGTTAAAAACCAAATTGATTGCCAGTGTTTTCATAGTTAGGACTTGACTATTTATTTATTTATTTATTTATTTATTTATTTATTTGGGAATGATCTCACTATGGTGCCCAAGCTGTTCTTGAACTCCTGGGCTCAAGTGACCCTCCTACCTTAGTCTAAGTGCTGGGTTCATGTTGCCATCGTAAAGTCTGCCATTTCTGTTTTTTGTTGTTGTTTGTTTGTTTATTTTGTTTTAATATCAAGATTTGAAATTTCCTGTGGAATCCCCTCTGTGCCACAAAGAATATTTGTGATACAGCATCCTTTGAAGAACTGCAACAGAGTAAGCGAGTTTGAAGCCAGCCTAGTCTATATAGTCAGTTCCAGGCCAGCTAAGGCTATACTTATTGAGCCCCTGTCTTACAAGAAAGGGGTGGGGGATGAATTAGTCTTGTGACTAGAAGATTTGACCTGAGTTCCTTAAGATCTTTAACCAGGGATGTGGCTATGCTTGCCTATAATCCTAGCATCTAAGGAGGAAGCTTTTCTGTTTTTGATATCCCCACAAAATCTCAATAATTAACTCACCATAGCAAAGGACTATAATTTTATGTTAATCTGTAATGTTGCTATTATAATCTTATTCTTTGTTAATGTTAAACAGTTTTCAGAGTGGCAGAGGACAGGTGATAGGGGTTTCACTTTTCATTTTTAGTGTCAGATTACCAGTAGGTTGTCAAATTCTGCAGAAGGTAGCAAATTGTTTGACTGGATAACTGGCAAACTACATGTTTAGACAGGTGGAGAACTAAAGTCCCATCTCTTGAGCAGTGTTGCCTGGTTATTACATGCCTAACATGGGAACTGATTGTAGAGTGTGGTCTCATGGGGTTTGAAGAATGACCTTTGCCCTTGGTCCCCACAGGGTTTGTAACCATGTCCTGTGTCCACAAGGCCCTCCACACATGCTGGGTGAAATTAATTTTTCATTTATCAGTGACTAAACCTTTTAAAGGTATTGAGGCACCTAGGTTAAATAACAAGTGCCAGGGTAGACAGTTGTCTGAAGGACTAGCTTTTTGTTGTTTTGGCAAGTAAAATCTAAACAATGACTGATTTGTTTATACTTTTTGAGAGTGGCCAGAAATAAATATTCTCTTTGGTCATTTATATACTTTAAAAAAGATCTTATTTGTTTGCTTGTTGTTGTGTGTCTATTTGGGTTTATGTGTACCACTGGAGTGCAGGACCCAGTGAAGGCCAGAGGGCAGACACCCCTGGAACTGGGGCTGCCAGAGGTTGTGAGCCACCTGATGTGGGTGCTAGGTCTCAAAGAGTGGCAAATGCTCTTTGGTAAATGCTCTTAACAGCCAAGTCGTTTCTCAAACCCCTAGCAGTCATACATCTAAATCATCATTTTATCTCATAGTTATTATAATAGAAAAATCTTACAGAAGGGGTGTGTGTGTGTGTGTGTGTGTGTGTGTGTGTGTGTGTGTGTGTGTGTGTGTGTGTGTCTCGTACATGTTAGGCAAGTGCTCTGCCACCAAGCTATATCCCAGCCTTTAAATTATGTTTTAAATCTTAAGATACCCAGTTTTGAGTAAGGTGGAAGTATTTCTAAAAATGTTGCAATTCAAACTAACATAGTATTCCTTTCATGAAGTTGCTGCTTTACATATTTGTAACTTGACTGCCCCAACACAGTGTACTAAACTTAGAGAAACTGCAGTAATCCAGGTGGCTTTTGAATTCTCACCAGCTGTTTTGCAGCCTTGAATGTGAAAAGTCAGCAACCTAAAATCTAAAACCGTGTTCCTATTTTTCGTTGTATAGTTCTTTCACCATGCCTGGGTCACTTCCTTTGAATGCAGAAGCTTGCTGGCCAAAAGATGTGGGAATTGTTGCCCTTGAGATCTACTTTCCTTCTCAATATGTTGACCAAACTGAGTTGGAAAAATACGATGGTGTAGATGCTGGAAAGTATACCATTGGCCTGGGCCAGGCTAGGATGGGCTTCTGCACAGATCGAGAAGACATCAACTCTCTTTGCCTGACTGTGGTTCAGAATCTGATGGAGAGAAATAGCCTGTCCTACGATTGCATTGGTCGGCTAGAAGTCGGAACAGAGACAATCATCGATAAATCAAAATCAGTGAAGTCTAATTTGATGCAGCTGTTTGAGGAGTCTGGGAATACAGATATAGAAGGAATAGATACAACTAATGCATGCTATGGCGGCACAGCTGCAGTCTTCAATGCTGTGAACTGGATTGAATCTAGCTCTTGGGATGGTATGTTCCATGTCTGCATTCTGAAACAGTCAAAACAGCAAACAAACATGCACGAGCACACACACACATACACAAATAACCCTTCTTGAGGATGTATAGACCTGATACCTCTTATGCTTGGTGCTAGGGCTAGAACCCAGAATCTCTAACTGAATAGTATCCCCACTCCTCCAAAAGCTGTTTAGTCAGTGCTGTGTGTTAACTGGTGCTACTTGTAATAGTCCAAATAATTAGAAAGATGTCTGACTTTCAATTTATGTGAATTGTTTATTTTAGAAACAGTAATAGGAAAAACAATGTGTTAAACATTTAGACAGAATGTTTTTATTCCTTTTACCAGTATGGGGAAAGCATATTCTAGGGAAAATATAACAAATATAACAGTTTTCAGTTCATATGCATGATTTTGTAATTTTGACTACTTTGCATTGCGTTTTTCAGGACGGTATGCTCTGGTAGTTGCAGGAGATATTGCTATATATGCCACAGGAAATGCCAGACCTACAGGTGGAGTTGGAGCTGTGGCTCTGCTAATTGGGCCAAATGCCCCTTTAATTTTTGACCGAGGTGAGTATTTGAGACATTATTTGTGGTGCTGGACTTGAACCTTGGGCCTTGTGTGTGGTAGACAAGCAGTCTCCATCTGAGTTTTATCCCAAGCCCTTTGTTTTTACATTTTGAGACAGTGGTTATCCGTGTGCTCTTCAGTAGCCCAGGCAGGCCTGCAACTTTGATCCTCTCATTTTTGCTTGTAATTACCTGGGGTTACACAGGTATATAGACCTACATACATAGAATTGTGCTTGCAGGTCTAACTCCTTTATTTATGTTTGCTTGTTTTATTGACACAATGTGCTGAGAAATTGAATGTAGTAGTAGAAGCTACCACTTGCTGAATGCTTATTGGCTTCCAGGTGCTTTGTGTGTATCACCTTATCTTTAAGTTTTGTCCAAAAGGTAGAGTTGTCCTTTCACAAAGAAATAAAATGGGCTGAGGTGCAGCTGAAGAAGGAGAGGAGTAGCATGCCCGTAGTCATTGATGATACATTTATCCTCAGGGTAGCAGCATCATTTCCTAGTTAGATTCCCTTAGGAAACTTGTAGGAGTCTCGGGGCTGCCCATGGTATTCGAGGTTTTATTTAATGGTTTAATCTTGCACTTCCTATATTGAAGTGCTGTGGGTTGATTGGTTGAGGAGAGCCCTTACATAAGGCAGTATGCTACTGAAGGGCAAACATCGACCGAAGCAGGAATGTACCAACGTCTTCTGTTTTGGTTGTAACAGGGCTCCGTGGGACACACATGCAGCATGCCTATGACTTTTACAAGCCTGACATGCTCTCTGAATACCCTATAGTAGATGGGAAACTCTCCATACAGTGCTACCTCAGTGCATTGGACCGCTGCTATTCCGTCTACCGCAAGAAGATCCGTGCCCAGTGGCAGAAAGGTGGGCTTTCTTCCAGCCCATTTTCTTATATGAGATTCTGGTATCCACAGGGCAGTGTAATAATATGTACTGGGTGACTGAAGTGAGAAACTTTTTTGTGAACAACCTTCTTGATACCTTACCACTTCTTTATGTACTAAGTATCATCACTTGGCCATAGTCTCTGGGAATGTGTAATTCAGGTAAAGACATAAGTATTTCTGCTGAGCTATTCTTACAATTTCAGTTGATTTATATCAGCTACATTACAAAAGAAATTTGAATTGTTAATTTTTTTTGAGGTATTTAAATAAGTTTTAGTTCAGTTGATTTATATCAGATACGTTACAAAAGAAATTTGAATTGTTAATTTTTTTTGAGGTATTTAAATAAGTTTTAGTTTTCAGCTATTTTTTAGAGGCAACTGTTTAAAAAGTTTTTATTACAATTTGTCTTTTTAGAGATGAAAGAGATTGTTAAAAATTATATTCCAAACAAATACTAAGAAATATAGTAGCCACAAACAAGAAGCATTGCAGTATACAAAACACACTGGCTGGGCATTGGTGGTGCACATTTAATCCCAGCACTCGAGAGGCAGAGGCAAGTGGATCTCTGTGAGTTCGAGTCCAGCCTGGTCTACAGACCTAGTTCTAGGATAGCCTCCAAAGCAATACAGAGAAACCCTGTCTCGGAAAACAAAACAAAAAAACCATACTGTTTTATAGTTAAATATACTGCTTTTAAACTGGGTTCCTTCTACATCAGCTTAGCAGTATGTGTATAAGAGACCAGTGATATTTCAACCTTTTTTATTAGAACCCCACGTTATATGTGTATATGCTGAACAGAAACAGAAGTACCGTGTAATTACCAATGCTACAAATGAATTGAATTTACCATTTTTTCTATTCTTTTAAAAAAAAGAAATGCTGGTGCAACTAATTGGCCAATAGGTTATGACTGTTATATTTGGTCATCCATAGCTGAGCATACACATTCTAAACTACTGAGATTTCGTAAGATAGGGTTTGGGGTTGCTGTTTAAGGATGTGAGGCCAGTAGCTCTTCTGCTACCATCCCCTCTGCGCTCTCTCTCTCTCTCTCTCTCTCTCTCTCTCTCTCTCTCTCTCTCTCTCTCTCTCTCTGTGTGTAATACATAAACTTGCCTGAGTTCTTAGAATTAGTAAGAAAAGTAAGGTAGAAGCATCCTAGCCTCTTCTGAAGGCAAGCTGGCTTCATTGGTGTTCATCGTTTCCTTGGTCTTCTGTTGCAGAGGGAAACGATAACGATTTTACCCTAAATGATTTTGGCTTCATGATATTCCACTCACCGTATTGTAAACTGGTGCAGAAGTCTCTAGCTCGGATGTTCCTGAATGACTTTCTAAATGATCAGAACAGAGATAAAAACAGCATCTACAGTGGCCTGGAGGCCTTTGGGTAAGAAAGCAGCTATGTCCTTAGTTTAAGTGTATGTTTAGACCTGAAAATTAGAGTCAAAAGGATGTTAGAAGTATTCTACTCTATAGTTGGGCAGCAGTGGCAAGCCATTAATGCTAGGCTACACAGAGAAACAGAAACAAAGTGAGGGTATTCTAATATATTCGTGTTATCAATGAAATGACAGCTGGGTTACCTACACAAATACATTAGTTATCTCTTAAGAGTTCTGACTTTGTTTTTAGCTCTAGCCGCATTGTTACCAGCACAGGAATAGGCTCACAGACACCCCAGTGCTTACTACTGCTCCACTAATTCCTCTAGTCCCCATGCCTTGGGGCAACCTGATGTCCACCAGTATTGTGTGCTGTGCATGTTGAGTTCATTCTTGTTTTCTCCATTTGATAAACTCCTACTTGACTTTTCAAGGCTTAAATCCTATAATACCATGCCTTTTTAAGCATGGTATTTGATAGACATGGCTGGATTTGAAAGGCTTCTATTATGTTTAGTGGCTTCAAAGCTTTAGTGAATCTGTTAGTCTATTAGCCTGTCAGTGTCAAGTTGTCTTTACCTGATGATAGCAAAGTTAGGCAAAGAACTGTTTTAAGTTGCTAACATCATTTATACAGTTACAATGTTGCTCCCTGATTTTTATATATTCACAGATTTGAATATTAATTAGGACAACTACAAAAATAACAACATGGTATTTAAATGCTAATTGTTTCTTAATATAATTTTTCAGGGATGTTAAATTAGAAGATACTTACTTTGACAGAGATGTGGAAAAGGCATTTATGAAGGCTAGTTCTGAGCTCTTTAACCAGAAAACAAAGGCTTCTTTGCTTGTATCAAATCAGAATGGAAATATGTACACGTCTTCTGTATATGGTTCCCTTGCTTCTGTTCTGGCACAGTAAGTATAAATTGCCGTTCCCTGACTCCTCTTTTCTGAATGACATCTTATCTTCAGGTATAGCCTGCTGCTCTGTCGAGAGCAATCTTTGTGGGGTTGCAATCGGAGCCAGCCGAGCGGCCCTAAGTCCATACCTGAGTGGGGGAGTGTGGATGAGGGAAAGGCTATAGACAATAAAGACAGACAGACAGAATAAAGGTCAGGAGGACAGATCAGTCAATACTGAAATGCCACGAGTTTATTTTCGACACTCTTATATACCATAACCAAAAAGGGGAACACAGTATCATGTATGTGGAACAAACAGACTTTTCTTCCTCACTTATTCTAAGGGTCCAGTAACCATACCTTAGCTCCAACTTCTTGTTCCCAGCCTTGAGGTCAGGAGTAGCTACACCTTTGACCTTTAGGTCTTATGACTTGCTGACTGACAGTTTTGAACTCTCTGCCCTTGTGCTAAGATGGGGTGCAGCCATTTATATGGGCACCCACACTGCTCTCTACTGATTTGAGAGACATATAGGTTAAGGGTGCCGTTCTTCCCTGAGTATTTGTTAATTGTCGATTTTTCCATAGTTTTTATTATTTTTACCTACAGTTGAACCACAAATCCTTAATGACTAGGATTTATGTGTGGTTCAATAATTTTGCTAAGCTTCGTCATTTCCTAAAAGATGTAAGACTTTGTTCTGAGTATGTACTATGATACTAAAATCTCAAGTTCGATTCCTTAATGAAATATTAAAACTAATAGATCCTCAGGAATGTTAAATTAAGCAGGGAATGGTGTCACACACCTGTAATCCCAACACAAAGGCTGAGGCAGGAAGATAGTTAACACAAGTCCAGCCGTGTATTGAAGAAAACAAACGAAGCTTCAAGTTAGACCTAGCATTTAGCTCTGGACTGTTTCTGTGACTCCTGATAAGATGTAGTTTGTGTCTGTTAAGTTTGCCCTTTTTTCCTTACACAGGTACTCGCCTCAGCAGTTGGCAGGGAAGAGGATTGGAGTGTTCTCTTATGGGTCTGGCTTGGCTGCCACTCTGTACTCCCTTAAAGTCACACAAGATGCCACACCAGGTAAGTGCTGGGTCCTTCGGCAAGAGCACATTGCCAACCCGCTGTGGTGCGGTAGGTTCAGAAGCCTTCTCACATGAGCACGTTAGTCAGTCTGGTCCGTCATTCCGTTCTCCGTTTCATAACTTCTTTCACATAGATTGATACTCTCTACCTTACAAATCTGCTTTAACAGCTAATACAGGAAAAAATTTCCCCTGTGGATTTGACTATATTGAAGCAAGCATTTGTGCTTTCCTTGAGAAAGAACAAACAAAAATATTGAGGAAAAACTTAGGAAAACTTGGCATCATTGAAAATTGTACTGAAGATTGACTATAAAAAGTGATTTATAGTTTCAAATCCCACATGTCATTTAACTTGTGGGCTAGCTAATATTAAATAAGTCTAGTCAAAGGTGGCAGGAAGTTGTGTCAAGAAGATACCATCTATATTTTAGCTAAACAATAGCCAGTAGGTTATTTTGTTGTTTTTCTTGGTTTTTCAAGACAGGGTTTCTCAGTAGATTTGGAGACTGTCCTGAAACTCTCTTTAAAGACCAGGCTGACCTCGAACTCACTAGCCAATAGTTTTTAGGAGACAAGAAGTTATTTGCATATAACAACATTTTATTGAGCCGTGCTATTCTGTTTTTTAATGTTAAACTTCTTTGTTCTTTTAGGATCCGCTCTTGACAAAGTGACAACTAGTTTGTCTGATCTTAAAGCAAGGCTTGACTCAAGAACGTGTGTGGCGCCAGATGTCTTTGCTGAAAACATGAAACTCAGGGAGGATACACATCACTTAGGTAAACTTCTATGTTAGAGACCTGCAGTCATGTGACACACCATACAGGACTGTAGTACTGATGTGATGTCAGTGAAAGCTGTAGAGGAATAGGAAAATTCTCTGCTTAGTTTGTTGCCAGATGGATATCATTAGTAATTTTTGGTACCCTGCTTTCCCTTCAGCCAACTACATTCCCCAGTGTTCAATAGATTCACTCTTTGAAGGAACGTGGTACCTAGTCAGAGTGGATGAAAAGCACAGAAGAACCTATGCTCGGCGCCCGTCCACTAATGGCCACAGTTTGGGTGATGGAGTGGGACTTGTGCATTCAAACACGGCAGCAGAGGTCAGTGACTCCCATTGTGTTGGTCCTCTTCTCTGGTGGGGTATGGGGATGCTTTCACTCCCATATGTCTGGGTTTCAAAGCTGTAACAGATATAGCAACTTAGAGAAATGTCAGTAAAGCAGAGTGATTCAGAGCACGGGCTCCAGGCTCAGGCCAGCTGTGGCAGGCACGTGATAAATACCAGCTTTATCAAGTCCTAGGACTGATAAGAAGGAAGTGTGGTTTAGAGAGAAGCTCATTTTGTATCTTATAGGTTGGTGAGCAATACGGAGGAGGGTGCTGAGCCCCCCCCCCCCATATTTCACTTTTCAAAAGTGATAGCTGTGATTTATATTCCTGTTATGTGCAAGGCACTTTGCTTACTTCCTATTAGAAGCCTCAGAACCATATACTAACCTTTCTGAGGGTTACAATGGTACTAACTCCAAAGTGAGGCCCTAAGAAGTCTAAACACTCAGGGTCATAGACAAAAGTGGGAAAGCCAGGTCCAAACCAAGAACTTGGACTTTGGAATTGCTAATTTCTTCTGGTGAGTGTAACAATCTTGCTGTTAAACCAAGTAGGTGGCACAGTGAGGTAGTATCTAAGTTGAGAGTATAAGATGTTGTAACAAGCAGTCTTGGGAGGCCTTCCTGTCTCACTCACAACATGAATAATTGCACAGTCATTTCACTGTAAGGTCTAGATTGGGTACTTAGCATTCTCCTTGGAAAGATTATAGAATCTGTGTCAGATCGGCTTCTCTGATTAGATTCTCTGTAGGCACTTTAATTAGCTCTGTGATTCTTAGTGAAGAAACTTGTAAAGCCAACAACTGTTCTTTTTATTTTAGCATATTCCAAGTCCTGCTAAGAAAGTGCCAAGACTCCCTGCCACTGCAGCAGGATCGGAATCAGCAGCTATTAGTAACGGGGAACACTAAGAGCTTTGTTGGGTGTAAGGCTTCACAGTGGCCCGGGGCTGGGGTGGGGAACGGTTGAAGTATTGTATGTCTAGGGACAATTTTAAAGAGTACATGTTGCTTAAAATGTAATGTAACTGAATGTAACTGACACGGAGCCTAGAAAACTATTGTGTTCTTGGAAAAGTCTTTGCTGAACTTGTTGACACGCTTCCTGTTGTGGTCTGGCCAATGGTGAATGTGCTGCAATTTGGGTTTAAAGGGCTCTGTAAAACTTTATACCTCTCTGGACGCCCATATGCATGCAGTTTCATTTTCAAACATGGCATGAACTGAGTGCTTCTGTCGACAATAAGCGGAGGTACTACTGTCCAATTTTAAACATTGGTGGTTTTTTTTTTTTTTAATGTGTAAGAATTTTGTACTTTAACAAATAAAAAGTACCTGTAGCTTTTGAAAAACTTTTCTAGGTTGGAGATTGTGGAATTTAAATGTCACGCACAAACCCTGCTTGAAAATGGCAAGGGGAAAATATTATCTTTTTCTAAGACTTGTAAATCCTGGAGAGAGAGAGGGTATGGTTCTAGGATCTGGAGGAACCATTGGTGAGAAAGGTTAGCAGTGATCATGTGAGCAGAAAAATGCTGGCTCTGAGTGGGACTCTGCCACACCAAATAGTTCACCTGGGTGCTGTGGATGCAGCTGGGGAACTGGTTCCAGCCAGTTCACAGTGGCTAGTCTCTGCAGCCCTCAGATGCTGGTGTGAAGAAGCTCCCTGCCATCCTGGGCACCCTCCTTACAAGGCCCAAATGTAATGTAAGAAGGGTGGGGCAGGGCATTATTAGGTCACAGTGTTACAAATCCAGTTCATAGGCCGACAGCTTAAATCCACCAGACACCTTTTTTCTTTGTGGTTTGTGTATTTTGTGTTTTGTTTGTATGTGTTCAATGAAAATAAATATATATAACCCTCATTTTCACATAGTGAAAATTTCACATAGTCTGAAAAGCCAAAAGGAATATTCATTGCAAGATCTAGAAGTAGAATTTGTAACATTTTTCCCCCCTTAATTTTCACTTTTAAAACAAGAACTATCACATGAGATGAGTAAGAAATTCACTAGAAGTTCCCTGGGTGATTTTGGTGCTGAACAATGATGTGAGCCTCACAGACTGTAAAGTAGAGATAGTTGGAACTGATGTACAGAACTAAATTTTTTAACTTTATTTTCTGTTCCATTCTGTGAAGTTTCAGTTATCTAAACTAAACACATGAATCTGTAAAAGTTTCAGATTGCAAGGTAACATGTAATGTAGCATTTGTAAGATATTCTTGTCAATATTAACCAGTAGGGTTTTGATTTGTACAGTTTAATTGGTTAAAATGGTTTCATTTTAACATCCACTGCTATAGATGAATAATGTAAGTTCAGATTTAAAGGATGGTGGGGAAATGGTGCATGTAATTCTTTTTGCAAGTATTAAGAGTTCTGTATGTTTTGAAAAGAGTAACGTTCAGTGCCAAGGAGTGGACTTTCTCAGAATGTGTTGCCGGCCTGGGTAAGCCTGATGATCCTGGCACGGAACGTTAACCATACACCTTACTAATAGCAAGGTGAATAACTTTGAAATAAAGTTTTAGACCAATGTTTCAGATATGTGAGTGTTCTTTTCTTTTCTGAGCCAGCAATTTGGGCACAGAGTCAGCAAATAGCTATTTTTAAATGTGGCTTTCAGTTCATCACTCATTTATTCTTTAAACATTTACAAACCTGGTATAAGCAATGCACTCTGCTTATGCCAGACATAATATGCAGCCCGTGTGTGGTCCTGTCACCCCTTTTAGGAGTCTACGCATTAGGAGACACAGGAGATTATTTTCTAGTATGGGGCAGCTCATGGTATCATTTGGGATCTAGACTTGGTACGTCTGTGTCCCAGCACTCTGTGTTTAGAGTCCAGTGTTCTCAGGTTGCTTGTCTTACATATTCCAGGATCCTGAGAACTATCTCCTTCCTGTGTCACCTGGGGAATCTGCTTTGCTGTTTTTAGGGTTTTTTTCTTTTTTAACTGGAGTTTTAATTTTATTTTTTAAACACTATGAGTTTGGCTCCACACTAGATATGAAAGCAGTTACATGTGATCGTCCTGTGACCTGACTGAAAGTCCATCTCCGGTCTGCCACTTGGAGTCTTCTGACAACAGACAGAAGTTGGTATAGCAAAGATTGTAGCAGGATCTTTCATTTTTAATTAGATTTTTGTTTTCTGTGAGACAGTGTCTCATGTCAGCTACATCTGAACTCCTGATTTCCTTGCCACCACCTCCTAAGTGCTAGGATTACAGGCATGTGCTACCATGCCCTGCAGAAACTAATTAATCTTAATGCCAGTGAATTTTCTTCAGACTTTTGAAGAGTTGCTCTAAGTTAAAGGGTCCTCTTTGTTTTTTGTTTGTTTTGTCCTTAATTGGTTGCTAGCAGAGGTAGCTGACCTGAGATTCTTTTGTGCAAAATGATTTCTTTTAAGGCAATAATATGATATAGAGGATTACAAATAAAATTGAGTGTTTTTTTCCCCCCCTAAGGCAGGGTACCAGTTCACTTACCAGGAATAAGCACTCTTCACTTGTGCTGAAACTTGTGGATTCCTGTGGTATCTATTCCTGTGGTCCCCACATACTTTTCCATGAGAAATGAGAGGCTGGCTAGACTCTCCCAGACAAAAAGATTGTTAAAACAATGAGAACATGAATGTAATGTTGGCAAGCAGGGTTATGGGAACCTGTGACATATAGGATCATCCATCACTACTAAGACTTGCCATCTGTAGGTGTAGGAAGAAGACAAAGCTTTGGATCCTATGGTTACCTGAACAAGATGGGCCCAAGATAAAGACTGAGTTTGGCCAGCTTTTAACTATCTACTTAGGAAGCCTGGGGAACAACAAAATGATAGCCCCAAGTACGTCAACTATCCATTAAAGGCATACTAAAAGTCAGAGTCTTTAAAAGAAGGTATAAAGGGAGCCTCACCTCTGGCTACAGAAGGACAAGTACAGCATCTGAGACTGCAGAATGCTGAGCGGTCACTGTTCTCCTTTAGGAAAGTTAGGGTTTGGTGGCAAGTCAGGGCCTTCAAGTGAAGTTAGTGCAGTGGAAAGGTTGCAAAACAGGCTTCCTGTAGTGGACAAGGACCCTGTCCAGGGTCACTGCCAGGGCTTCTAGGACAGATGTCTGTGTAATGACATTTGGCCTCCAGATCCAGTGCTGATGTTTCCATTGTTTGCCAAACCAAGAACCAAAGTGAAGTCTCAACACAGCCAAAGTAGGAAAATACAACCCCTTGTCTGTTTGGAAATGGTAGGCACTGAAGGGATTACAGAAGCTGGCTAACACATACTGTCTGTCAATTTGGGCAAACATGCAAGTGTATCTTAAGTGTGTCAAAAGCTGGAGGGGCCACTAGAAGATGGGCTATGGAGAGTTCATTCTACAGCATGGCTATGAGTTGGCCATGGTGGAAGCACCCTAGCACAGTACTGAGATGCTGAGGAAACCCCAGGAGATATAAATGTTTGATTCATTATGCAAGACTGAACAAACCCATCTAATATCCCAAGGATGGTGCCTTCATTCAGGCTATCCAAAATGCACTGGGTGGCAAGCAAGCATAACCACCAAGTTGTGATCAGGGGGCATTACCAGATACTTAAGAGTCATCAACTCACATGAACGTAGCAATTCATCCTCATTGGAACTGATACCTACTCTGCCTGTGGGTACGCATTTCCTGCCTGCATTGTCTCATCCAAATAATCATTCCAGATCTTAGAGCAGTGATTCTCAACCTTCCTAATGCTGGACCCTTTAATGTAGTTCCTCATCCTGTAGTGACCCCCAGCCATACAATTATTTTCATTGCTACTTCATAACTCGAGTTTTGCTACTGTTATGAATCATAAATGTCAGTATGTTTTCCGATGGTGTTAGGCCACCCTTGTGAATGGGTCATTGGACACCTTTGCAAGGAGACATGACCCACAGTTGAGAACCACTGTCCTAGAGCATAATTCATTCATTGTCATATCTGATAACACTTGTCAAGGACTACAGAGTTCCTTTGCATTACCACAGCCCTCAGTGCTGCAAACATCTAGTACAAATAGAACATGAGTGGCCTAAGACCCAGTTATATTGCTAACCTGCAGGGCTGGTGTGCTGTTCTCTAGCAATCAGTGTGCATGTTTTAATAATGGCTTGTATGTACCTTGCTAAATTCACAGGTGTAGGAACCAAAGGCTGGAAGTAAGATAGACTTATTTCACAATTAGTGATTTGAAGGTTTGAATTGCTTCCTAATTATCTAGGCTGAAGTAGATGAGCAGTTTGGGTTCCCAGGGAGCAAGGAGGACATTTTCACTGAGAACCCCAGTTGAGGCTCTTGTGAGTAACATGGTCATTGAGGCTGCCTGTGCCAATGGGCGAGCAGGGTAAGAAGTGCTCTACTGGTACGATTGACCCTAAGTATAAGCAGCTAAAGAAGGTGTCAGGAACCCAAGAGAGGCTGGTGTGTTACTCTTGGAGCTGATGATGAGTAGGCAATGACAGCAATTATGATAAAGCATGATGGTAGTTTGGGTCATGCTACTCAGCGTAAACCAGTTGAAATGATGGCCAAAGGTGAGGAAAAGTCAAGGTAGCTGGTGAAAAAAACAGATGAGAGACGATTTAGAGCCTCCAGATGCCTTGCAGTAATGGCTGTAGCTCAGAGAACCTCAAAGCCTGGTCCCAAACTAACAGCATCAGCATCACCTGGGAGGTTGTTTAAGGTGTAACACTGTGTCAGGAACTAACTACAGTCTGGGTGGTGGCATGCACCTTTAATCCTAGCACTTGGGAGGCATAGGCAGGTGGATCTCTGTGCGTTCCAGGCCAGCCTGGTCTACAAAGCTACACAAAGAAACCCTGTCTCAGGAAAAACAAACAAACAAACAAAAAAAAACAAAAACAAACTAATAGATTCCAATTCACAAGCACTCTTATTGGAGTGAAAACATCCTCCTTGACCCTTGCTCCTTGGGAATCAAAACTGCTCACCTACTTGAGCCAAGGAACAACTTAAAGTCACAGACTGTTAAGGCTCTGCCCACCCAAGGATTCACTGAATCTAACGGCCTGGAGGTGGAACCTGCTGGTCTGGTAAAACGAAATAAGTAGTTCTGATGGCTAGAGTTTGAGAGCCATTGTTACAGTTCTGTGGAGAGTCCTTCCAGGTACCACCCCCTACAAGGAACAGAGGGATTTATGTGGAGCAGGGTGTCCAGATCGGCTGGGCTAGTTTCTATGACCACTTCAGGTCCTCCCTGCCAAGCTGCTTCCTCCAGTAACCATTTCCGTGCGAGTTTGGAAGGTTCATACAGGTGACCTTTTCCTTCCTGTCTACGGCTTCTTTAATGCAAAGGCCCGAGAACTACAAAGAAACTGCTCGGGCTGGAGAGATGGTTCAGAGGTTAAGAACACTAACTGGTCTTCCAAAGGTCCTGAGTTCAATTCCCAGCAACCACATGATGGCTCACACCCATCTGTAATGGGATCTGGTGCCCTCTTCACTGAAACCTAATTTAAAAAAAAAAAAATAAATAAATCTAAAAACAAAAACCACTTGGTACTCACACAGCATTATCTGGAAATTCAGAGAGCAGGGATTGATGTCACTGACTACCCTTGCCCAATGGTGAATGAGGGCTGGTAAATCTTTCCCCTTTCATACGTTTGTGCAGACCCCTGACATATGGTGTACACAGTGCTTCTCAAAGGTCCTTGGCACAGTAGCCTGTGCCACTGGCCATCTTCGGCAAAGTCTTTGTGTTGGCTCTTACTGATCTTCTGTTCTCACTATCCTGTTGTAGGATCACTTCCCCCAATAAACCACGTGAGAGCCTTTTGGAAGAATCTCACTTATATCCCTGGCTATTGGGCACAATCTCTGCCTTTCTTAAGTCACTGTGGCTACTCCTTCTGCTCCCACACTGTCGTCCACTCCAAGCCACCCTCCTTAAAGGTCTAATCCAGAGTAGCATGCTTCTAAAATTAGATAGTCCTGTGGGGAGCCTGCACGGTATCTCCCACTATTTGTCACTTTTGTTTTAAAAACATAAAAATAGTTACTAGCAAGTGTGTATGTTGTGTATTAGAATTTCCTACATGCAAGAGAAGGGGCTGGCTTTGCTATTTCCTCAGCGCCTTAAACAGTGCCTGGCACACAGCAGTTAATACATATATTTCCCCATTAAATGAATGGTGAAGTATGACAGGAAGACAAAAATCCCAAGTCAAGCCAAAAATCTAGGCTAAGAGACTGTTGGGGTGGGAGGGGGGAGTGCTATGCATATGCCAAATTTAAATTTTATTTAAAAATTACAAAAATGTTTCCATCCAAGTTGTCTGTGACAAAAGTTAAAAGCAGAAACTTTGTGGTTAGTTACGAGCTGCCTGATAATGACTTATAAAATTGAACAGAATTTAGATGTGTGTCTTATGCCTCTATAGATGCGGGATCCTTTCTTTAGGTCCCTTTCTTTAGGTTCTGGGAGCGTCATTATTGGCACCCTTTCCAGAGCCTTTTTCTTTTGCACTCGATGTAAAATGATTCTGTAGACCCCCGTGATGGAGCTGCGAGCGTCTCTCCCTGGGTTGTTGCGAATATGCTCATCTGTAATCCCCAAATGTTCTAACGTGCTTTTGACCTCGTTCTCCTCCTCTTCAAGGCTGCTGGCTTCTGACAGATGTCTAGGATCCAGTTGGAAGGGTTCCAGAGGGGTGGGGTATGGCACTCCTCGCATCCACTCATTGTTCATGATGTAGCTGATCCCATACCTCTCTGCGGGTACGGGCTGAAGGACTCCTCGGATGAGCCGGTGGCAGGGCTCTGACACATGCTGGGGTATGCTGTAGGTACCCTCAAGGATGCTCTTCTTTAGTTTGGCCACGGTTTCTGCTCGAAATGGCATTGTACCAGTCACCATGAAGTACAAAAGGACACCCAAGGCCCAGATATCCACATAGACACCAACATAATGTTCATCTCGGAAAAGTTCGGGCGCGGCATAAGGCGGAGACCCACAGAAGGTGTTCAGCATTTCACCTTTCTTACTCACGGTGCTGAATCCAAAATCTCCCACCTTCACACACGTGCTACTGGTATAAAATACATTCTCTGCTTTCAGATCTCTGTGAATAATTTGGTTTTCATGCTGTGAAGAAAGCATGGGGGGTATGTGTCAATTTTAAGGTAAATGACAACTAGAAAATATATACAGTTTCTCTGCAACAGAGGAATGGGTGATGGTGGTGGCATAAATCATAGAAGTTCAATAGAAAGCAACTTAAATCACATTAGCAAACTCTACCATGACCTTCAATCCAGTGTCATGCCGTCACCCCCCACAAGTAGGCCAAAGGCTTGATGAAGACTGGAATTTGTGCCACATAGATTCTGGAATTCGTGCCAGAAAAAAAAAAAAAAAAGACCCAGATCTTATGCAACTGTACAATTCTGAAACACAATCAAATAACAAGCCTTCCTTCTTGAGATCTTACTTGATTCTTTTCTGTTTTCCCTTGACTGAAACCAAGAGCAGAAAGTCTTAGGGCCTGCTCCAACCTCCTGGCCATCCTCCTTTGGGTGGGCTTATATAATTTAGCAAAAAGGAGGTTTAATTTGTCAGATTTCTTGCAACAGGCTTCTTGTTATGTGTTGCGAGTACATGTCCTTTCCTGCCCTTACACTCTAAATTCAGGCAATAGGCTTGGGAACTTTGACCTATTTAGTTTTAAAGGCTTGGGTAAAGATTTAATGCCACTTGTCTCAGTGAGTCCTTGGGGTAATAATAACACAGGCTTTATAAGATGGAGCTGGTCCAATTTACATTCAATTCCATCAACGTGTAATATGAGCATCACTTCTTCATAATTAGTGATGCTGACACTTATAAGGCTGCTATCAGAACTATATACAACACTGTGGGCAATGCTCAGCATGGTCCTTTCACATAAACAAATTCAGTGACATCTATGACTGCAATTCAGCCTTTCTCTTTTCAGAGGCAAGACTGCAGGGGGACATGGCAGGACACAGGGCATCTGTGAACCCATATCTGTACTATCTGCTAGTCCCTGCTGCTCTCCTACTCGGTACCTGGCAGTTATGTGCACTAGTCAAGTTCCCTCTGTGTGCCCAGCAGAATGGCTGGCTCTGGGGAGCACACAGAAGAAATAGACTAGGAGGAGTTAGGCAGCTTTGAAAAGAAGGCCCAACTGTCTACTATTGCAAAGCCGACCTTCTCTGGTTTTTCTAACAAAGCAAAGCTCAAAGATCTCACGGCAGGCAAGAGTAGCAGGAGCTTCTGCTTACCATGTGTTTCACCGCCGACACTATCTGGGAGAAGATGAGCTTGCTTTCCGGTTCAGAGAGCTTCCCCTCAGTGCTAATTTTCCCGAAGAGCTCCCCGCCTCCAGCATACTCCATTACCAGGTGGAGCTTGGACAGGGTCTCCACGACTTCATAAAGGCGGATGATGTTGGGATGGTGTAGCTTTTCCATGCTGGAAATCTCTCTGGATAGCAGCCTTTGGGTTTTCTGGTCTAACTTGGTCTTGTCCAGAATCTTAATGGCCACTTTTTCTGGAAAGAAAAAAGAAAAGAGTTAAAGATTTTGTCTTGTTTTGTTTTTTTAATGAGAAAATATGTATTTAAAGCTGGCTGGGTTCTGGATGGTCTCCTTTATCCTATCAGACATAGAGGTTCCATGGTTCCCAAATCAACGGAAATGAAGAAATAATTCTCAAGTTCAGTATCAATATCTACACACAGGTTTGGATGCCAACTCCAGCCTCCCAAAGGAGTTCTGTCATCTGCACCTGGTTTTCCAAGTAAAGTTAAAGGTCCTTGATTCAGCCCAGAGAGCGCACCTAGATTAGAATGGGTTTCTGTCTTCAGTGTCAGAGTGTGGCTCCAGCTTGTCCTCCAACTTCCCCCTTGAAACAACAAACATTCATACACAGTACCATTATTTCTTTATCCAGGTCTTTTTATCACTCTATTCCTGTTCTTGACTCAGTTCATCCCTGGTGACTCTGCAAAGATAGCCTTATAATTAACCTATCCCCACAAATCTCCCGTGGAACCTGCTTAAGGTGATGGTGACACCCAGGCTCTGGGTATTCAGAGCATCCATGGCTCAGCTCACCAGCCTATACATACTGCCTTCTCTATTATTCTCACTCTCCATGCAATGGCTATGTTTTATCTTACTCTATCTGTGTCATACTCTATCCTATGCATGAAGAAATTGCCCATTTCTTGGTGCAATAGTTCTGGATAGCAGTTTAGTACAATGTGTTGAAATCTTAAAGATGATTACATACTTTAATCCAGCCATTTCACTTTTAGCAATTAATCTTAAAGAAATAACCTAATATGTGTACAAGGGTGCTTGTGTTACAATAAATAGCAAGTAACCAGCAAGAGATGGTCAAAGTGTAGTTCATCTTTGTTTATAACAATATGTCCCAAAATGATGTCAATCTGTACTTGCTGATGTGAAAAGATGTTAAATATGTAAGAGAAAGACAAATACTCATTAGTATAGAAAAAAATATAGTAAGACATTTTTATTAAAATGTTTAGAAAAGGTTTCTACTGGGGCTGGAGAGATGGCTCAGAGGTTATGAGCACTGGCTGTTCTTCCAATGGTCCTGAGCTCAATTCCCAGCCCCCACATGGTGGCTCACAGCCATCCGTAATGAGGACAGGTGCCTTCTTCTGGCTTGCAGGCAGAACACTGTATACATAATTAATACATAAATCTAAAAGAAGAAAAGCTCTCTACTTTTTAAAAAAAAAAAAAAAAAAAAAACAGGGTCTCGTGTATCCCTAGATGGCCTTGAACTCACTACATGATTGAAGATGACCTTGAAGTTTTTACCCCTTGCCTCCATCTCTCGCATGCTAAGATTACAGGTGTGTGGTGGTAACACCTGCTTTTTTTGTACGGCTAGGAAATAAAGCCGGGGGGGATCTTTGTGCGTACTGTGTGAACACTGTGCCAACCCTGGAAGACTTACCTTCTAATTGGAGAATCACTGATAATTTTTCTATACATTTTGTGTTGATCATTACTTGTGATTTTTCTATAATAAATATGGAGCACATGACAAACATGGCTACCACTGACAGCAAATGAATCTTGAGTTCCTAACACAACAGCATTCCGTTGTTCAAATCTGGCCAGACTATACAGCAAACGTTAGCAGAAAAGAAATTGTGACAGACTGGGTGTTAGACCTACTTGCACCACACCTGCTTCGAAGAACTCTAGCACAGTGTTATTGGCAAAACACAGATGGCTGCTTGCTCAGAGCAGGCATTATCACTAGCATGTCAAAGGCCAGTTCGGCTCTCTGAAATGGACAGAGGTAGTGATGGTGTCTGATGTGGGGATGCTTCTATTGGAAGCAGTACTGCACAGTGAGAAGACAAACCCTGAATAATTAAGTCCCAGTTTGGCTATTTCTACAGGCTATCAGCCCAGCTAACGGGCTTCCTCATCCATCCACTGGACATTCTGCTTCCTTGGTCATCTCTTTTCTGCCTTTCAGTGGCTAGCTGTTTTCCTGGACCAACATCTCATACAGTCTGTTGAGTGAGTTGTTACTGCAAGCGCTAAAATTCCACCCCCTGGACTCGAAGTCTCTGTAGAAGAGGTTTCTCCTGCTTTCTTCCCTCTCTGTATCTCAGGCTCCCGGAACAGGACTGATCTCAGCAGCCCCTTTCCTCCATGCACTGTGAATATTGTTGGAGGGGATCTTAATCTCCTTTTCCTAGAGGCCTCCTGCTGTTCCGAGCCAGGTCTAGAGTATGGTGAAACAAGTGCCTCTTGTTTGTTTGTTTGTTTGTTTGTTTGTTGGGTTGGTTGGTTGGTTTGGTTTGGTTTTTCAAGACAGGGTTTCTCTGTAGCTTTGGAGCCTGTCCTGGAACTGGATCTGTATCCCAGGCTGGCCTCGAACTCACAGAGATCCACCTACCTTCTCCCTGTCTCCCCTCCCCCCTCCCCAAGTGCTGGAATAAAAGGTGTACACCATCACTGCCCAGTCAAACACTGTTGTTATGATTCAGTGAAAGAGGGACTTGGAAAATAGCCCTTACTATACATGTATGACTAATATTAGGAAGGAATCCATTTTTTTTTAATGGCATGGCCCCTCTGAGTAAGAACACCAAATTATGGCTGAAGGTGAGGAAGAAGCCCAGGGGATGAGGCTAGAGAGGCCAAGGTGATCTCTTTATGATGGAGATGTGGACTAATGGATAGCGATCCCCAGGTTAGTCAGGAGTGCTAGCAGGGAGCCTGTTTTAGGGGAGACAGCCTTGGGAAACCCAGGGCTTTGTGGAGGGTGTCGTGATCTTGATTCCAGTTGTGGAAACAGTGGTCTGACTGCAGTGTGGAATGTGCAGGAGAGACGCTGAAGCATGGGAAGAACAGATGGTAACAAAGGAGGGGGTGAGTAGGGCTGCAGGGTCCTGAGATTGCTACCCAATTTCAATGGCCAGTGCTATTTTGACCACAGATCTGAAGCTGTTGGACTTTCTGCTTTTTAGTTTTCAAGTTTGTGTGAAGGCTTCAAATTTATTAAGTAACCATAATGAATACCTCCAAAATTTCTTCCTTGTTCACATCTTCTCTTCTCCTTTAAGAGGGGAGGTTACCTTCTTAAAACCAATGGGTTTTTTAAATTTTGTTTTGTTTTGTTAGCCACCCAGCCACTCAGCTATACAGCAATACACAGAGTAAGAGTAAGAGTTACATAAGTCAGGGAACAGGAAAAGCCCAGAGGCAAAAGGTAGAGGAAATTAATTTAACTTAAGAAAAGCTGGCTAGAATCAAGCAATCTAAGGCCAGACACTCATAACTAAGAATAAGCCTCCGTGCGTGATTTATTTGGGGACTTGGTAGTGGACCCCTCAAAAAGCTAAGAGAGCAAAAACAATACACAACAGGCTGGCCTCAAACTCACAGAGATCCGCCTGCCTCTGCCTCTGCCTCCCAAGCGCTGGGGTTAAAGGCGTGGGCCACCACCGCCCGGCTTGGTCCTTGTACTTGGTGCAGACACATTATCCACGCGCCATCACACAGCCTGGTCTTCAGTATTCTATACCATCTTTCAACTGCACCTGTTCTCCATCCCCTTCGCCACCCCCTTAGTTATAGGAGACATCATCATTCATTCCTCTAGGTCATTAGGCTACTCTTAGGACTCCCTACCTTCAGCTCACCTTGCTCACTGAAATCAGATCGAATTAGTTACTTGTTTACAGTCTTCCATGTCTTTTTGATACCTAATGACAAAATTCAGCCAAGCAAGAAGCATCTGTCTTTGTGGGCAAACTAATGATTACCTCAAAATGACCCATGTTTACTCCTGCCGCTCTGCAGGTCCCCTCTGCCCCAGCTCTGTTAACTACTTTTGAATTTCCAAGTGTCCCCTCTCTGGTTCTCACCTGTGGGCACTTTACACACTCTCTCTCTTCCTGGAGCTTTTCTTACTGTGGCCTGTGAGGTAAATCTCAGGACCCACTGCAAACCTTTCTAGTCGACAGACCCTTTCTGGATTCTGCTGGTGCCCAGTGAGCACACATACACACACACACACACACACACACACACACACACACTCATAGTGTTCCTTAATCTGTGACAACACGTGTTAGCTGTTTTCAGTCTCCTCTAAACAGCTATTAGTACCTACAAGACAAGAGGCCCGTCTTACTCATCTCTGTAAAGTCTAGAACAAAGCAAACATGCAGGAGGCATTTAGTATGTATTGTTTGTTTGGTGGTAACTGGGGAGATGGGTCAGTGGGCAACGCACTGGCTGTGCAAGCATGAGGACCTGAGTTTGTATCCCCTGCACAAACTGTAAAAGCTAGAGCTCTAGTGCCATGGGGAGCAGAGAGAGCTGGGAGCTCCGGCATCTCTGGTTAGCAAATCTAGCAAAAACAGTGACTCCAAGTCTATTAACAAATTAATAATATAAAAAATGGTGGACACATATGATCAGCAATAATTGGACTCAGTGAATTATGAAAGATGAGGACATGAAGTTAGGAAAGAGTTAGGGGGTCCAGGCTAGGAAGAACCAGAGGAGGAATCAGTGTGTGGAAATACATTGTATTCACATATGACATTTGCAAAGAATAATTTTAGAGACAAGGTTTCTTCTTCTTCTTCTTCTTCCTCCTCCTCCTTCTCCTCCTCCTTCTTCTTCTTTTTTTCTTTTGGTTTTTCAAGACAGGATTTCTCCGCTTTGGAGCCTGTCCTGGAACTAGCTCTGTAGACCAGGCTGGCCTCGAACTCACAGAGATCTACCTGCCTCTGCCTCCTGAGTGCTGGGATCAAAGGAGTGCACCACCACCACCTGGCTAATTTTTTAAAAATAATTTTAAGGTAAAAAGAGATAGGTGCATTATATTTGTGGATAAAATTGCCAAAGAATAAGTGTTTAATTTTTAAAAAAAAAAAAAAATTAGATAGAGCTAAAGGAAGAGATTCCAGTGTCAACCTCTAGTGTTAACACACACACGACACAAATGACTAAATAAAGAAAAATAAATGAGTAGACCAATGAATAAACAAATCGAAAGGGAAAAGCAAGGTGGAGGTCAAAGGGGCAGCAACCAAGAAGGCTCTGGGACCCACGGTTTCTTCTATGTTTGCTGGTGACAGCAGATGGGACATCAAACATTCAGAAGCTCAGTGCATCATTGCTTTTGAGATTTGTACAGACCACTGTCCACTTCCCTGCCGTCTTTTGCACATGCTGTCCCATTACCAAGGGTGACCCTGGACAGAGCTGGGCTCTGGTGGTTAAGCATAAGAAGAGCATACAAGCCTCACCAAGCACCATCCACTCAGTAGGCAATTGTCTGAAACTCAGGCAGGTGGGTATGACGTCAACTGTATAATATATCAAACAGGAAGCCATGCGATTCATGTACACACTGATCATTTTTCTTCTCACCTAACAGCCTGTCTACAAAATGGACGATGTCTTCTTCCTGGTGTTCTCTCAGCTTAGCTGGTTATCCTGTCCATGGTGGATACACTTACCAGCATGCTGCCTTCTTTATTTACCTTAGAGATTCTTCAGGCTTTGAGCTCTGCTCAAAGAGCAGCAGGCATGTGACCCTACAGACTGCAATGGCCTTTGTTCTGAAGTAGCCATCACAGCTCGCAGACACACATGCAAGCGAAAGGCTAATACACATAAATATAACAACAACAGCAATAATAATAAAATCTGAGGGGGGTGGAGGCAGGATTTCTCTGTGTAGCCCTGGCTGTCCTGGAACTCTCTTTGTAGACCAGGCTGCTTAAACTCAAAGATCTTCCTGTCTTTGCCCTCCCTCTCAAGGGCTGGGACTAAAGGCATGTGTCGCTACTCCTGGCTAAAAAAAAAAAAAAAAAAAATCTTTTAAAAAATTGAAATAAGGTGAGTTCGAGACCAGCCTGGTCTACAAGAGCTAGTTCCAGGACAGCCTCCAAAGCCATAGAGAAACCCTGTCTCAAAAAAACCAAAAGAAAAAAAAATTGAATTAAGAAAAGCCATGGTGTTCACAGCCATGGTTGCTGAGGTGTAGCTCAGGGGTAGGGTGCTCAGTTACAATGGGTTCGATTCTCAACACCACACATACACACATACCAACCACTCTGTCCATATGTGCTTTTGTATACATGAAATGTTAACCATGTTGGATCTGGTGGCACAGGCCTGTAATCCCATCTACTCAAGAGGCTAGGGCAAGAGAATAATGAGTTCATGGTATGTCTGAGCTACAGAATGAGTTCAGTTCTAGCCTTGGCAATTTAAGGACCCTGGCTCAAAGTAAAAGTAAAAGGAGGATACAGCGCATCAGTTAGCACATATGAGGACCCAGGCCCAATCTTCAGCACCAAAAAACAAAAGAAAGAAAAGAAGAAAGTGGGTGCAACCCAACCAGCCATCACTTTGTGTGTAAAATGTTACCCCAAGCTCCTTCTTGCTGTCCCGGTCAGTGACTGCCGTTGCCTTCTGTAATCACTGCAATGCAAACCCTGTACTGATCTCATGCTGTGACCCCCACCCAGGGGACGTTTTCTTCTGGACATCAGCCTTTTTGCTTGTTTTCCACCGCCCCCACACACTCATTCCTGTGTCTTGCGCTGTGTATACTAAAAGCACCATTCCTGGTTCACATAGCCAAGGAAGCCGGGTTCACTGCCCTCTGCCATCTTCTATCCCCACAGTTACCAACTACAAAAGCGAATTCTGTCAGCTTAACTGGCCACGGGGCACCCAGGCATTGGGTCAAACATGTATTCTGATCATCTGTAAGAGTGGACAATATGCATATTCGTATTGGTATGCGAATAAAAAAAAGTGGCCCATCAAAATGTGGCTGGGCTTAACCTAGTCTGAATTTAAAAAATGCCCTTTTAATTTAAAAATTATCTAATCCTGGGATGTTAAGATTTTTTTTTCTAGCTTCTAGAATCAACCATTCAACCAGTAAAAAACGTTGGCTCTTGGCCCAGGGGCTGCTGGCTTTCAGCTCTCCCCTGCTGGGCTCCAGCTCACCTACTGCAGATCTTGCAACTCCTCGGTCCTCATAATCATGTGACATGAGCCTTATAATAAACCCTACCCCCAGGTCCTTAGTAAAGCTGTTCTGGAGAACCCCGACCAGTATCCATCCTACGGATGCCTTTCTTCACCACAGGGAGAACTGGTTCCACTCAGTTGTCTTCTGGCCACGGTGCAACATCTCTAAGACTTAAACCCAAAACTTTGCTCAAGTATTTCTCAGATCCCGGATTGTGTTGTCCTTGTTGGCATATGCCTTCTTTCCCCTTATACTTAGGGGTGGTGACTACTGCCTCTCTTTATAACCCCCAGAGCCTAATGCAGTGCCTCTATTGTTGAGTAGGTGAATATTATCTCAAGTGAAACTGGACCTAGCGTTTAAAGACTATGAAAGCTTGACACAATACTACATTACTTGGATTTGAAGACAAATAATATCTAGATGATCTATTTGTAACAAACATCAGACGTTACTCCTTTAGCAGCCGTCTACAGTATATGCAAGATGTTTCTATTACCGACAGAGTATTACAACAACTCTCGTGCCAGATCTCACCCAAGAACAATCGAATAAAAAGCTCTGGGGGTGGTTTGTAGGCAGTCTTGTTTTTAACCTTCCCAAATAATTCTTGAAAATGGAGATTATGAAACTGGGAGAAGCACTTGAATTTACAGAGGTGACTAAGTAAGGCAGCTGACATGAAGCAATATGAACCTAGATACCCAGGGAGGCTTCAGAGCAGGTCGGAGATTTGGCTTCTAAGTATATGTAACCAACGTGCATGTGTGTTGTGTGTGTGCACACAGGCATGCACATGTGTGATGCTTTCTTTTTGGCTGTGCTGATAACCGAACTCAGGACCTGGCATATATATTAGACAATTCTATACCACTGTTCTGTGTCCCCAGCTCTGGAGTTTTTCAGCCGAGGTGAAACAGATTAGGGGGGCATGGGATTGGGGTTGGACTAAACAGAAAGCAGAAGACATCCCTGATAAAAGGGGGCGTGGTAACAGGGTAGGCCAAGGAGACAGCATCATGAAGGGTCTCTCGGGTGCTAGTATTCAGGTGTCTGTACTGGCCTGTCCTTGGGGTTCTGACAGGATACACCCTCAGCCGCAGCCATTAAGAGCACCACCTGTGAACATTCACTATGCTCCCTTTTAAAAGGGCCCTGCCCGCCTCCCATCCTTCTCACTTTCTTTCCCTGTGTCTGTCTGTCTGTCTGTCTGTCTGTCTGTCTGTCTCTCTCTCTCTCTTTCTCTCTCTCCCTCCCTCCCTCTTTTCTCTCTCCTGCTGCTCATGTCTCTGGAGGCTGCTCTCTCCCCTCCCCTCTCCCCCTTTTATGACCCCTTTCCCTAATTCAAAACAAAACAGAAAACCTCTGCTCGAGTCCTGTCACATGGCGTCTTTCTCCGGACAGCGTCAGGAGAGGGTAGAGCCCATGGGCTCCAGACGGTGGTTTCAACACACTGACGTCCAGTGTTCCTCTCCCCTGTGCCAATTGCCAGCTTTAGCTAAGTTGGGGTAACTCTGGGAAAGGGCCCAATTAGGGAGGATAGCAAAGGGGTGCTCTCTACACAGTCCTCCCTTAGGCTAAAGTGGTGAGCATTGTTCATCCTGAGTCACAGAGTGGCCAATAGCTGGAAAGTGTGAAGTATTACTGGGAACACGAACTAAAACCAAGGCTGATAAGACCCTGAGACCAAAAAAAAAAAAAAAAATACAAGAGTAGTTCGCCTGGTTAGAGGGGACCCTGGAACCCACTATCTAGAGACCCTGGTGGTCTGGGAGGTCTCCTACGGCATTCCAGACCACTGTTAGCGACACATCAATACAAACAAAGCTAAGAACACGGACTTAAGTCGCCTTCTAGCCCCACCCTCAACTAGATAGAGCCCAATACCTCACAGGTGATCCTCGGGAAGTCCGACCCTACCTTTGGTTAGGGAGTGAATGCCCAGCTTGACCTGGGAAAAGTTTCCGCTTCCGATCTCGCCTCGAATTCGATAGAAGCCTATGCGCTTCCCCAGCGTGATCTCCCTCACCACCTTCTCATCCTGGCACATGTCCTGAGTCAGTTTCTCGAAGGGCGTCAGTTGGCGCGGCTGGTCCTCCTCGCCCTCCTGGCCACACTCCGTCTGGCAGCTGCTTTCCACGCTGTCCCGCCGGTCCCACCTGTCACCGTGTGTGTTCACCAGGCCGCCTCCATTCACAAACACTGCAGTCATCGTCCATGCAGGCTCACGTCTCCATCTCAGCCCAGAGCCACTGTCAGGGCAGCTTGTAGGACAGGCAGGGGCCACAAGGGAAGCAGATGTGAGCTGAGGTCTCCGGGAGCTGGGTCCTGAGAGCGATGAGAGCTGAGCAAACCGTCCTGCGGATGGACACCCAGAGACTGGAGAGAGCCTGCACAGCCCAGCAGGCCCTTCCTGCCTTTCCTCACCTCGGGTTTCCAAGCTCCCGTACAGTTACCATAACCCCTCCCGAGGTGGAACCTGATGCTCCTGCTCCGTGGTAGGTGGTTGCGATGGGGGACAAAGGCCCCGGTTTATTTCCCTGTGTAACCAGTCAGTCTTGCACTCCAGACTGCAAAAGCCCCTTGGAGGCCCCCGAGTCCCTGCCGCGGGTTCTCATTGCTGACCTTCATTTTGTGTTTCTCTTGCTGTCAAATCGCAGGACCCTGGGGACTTGACAATCTGAACTCCAGAAAGGAAGAGTCTTGTAAGTCAGCCTTTGGTCACACAGGCAGCCAGAGGATTAAATCCGCACAATGCCACTTTAGCCGGCCTTTATTTAGATGAGCCCTCTTCTAAGCCCTGAGCTGTCCTGAAAATTTGGCAGGTGACACACAGCTCATCCTAAGGACAGAGAGTGAAATCATTAGCCCATTCTGATATACTGTACAGGAGGAGAACGTAAAACTGCCTCGTGAACATCTTTCTAAAAGCACTCTGAGTTTATGACTCATATTAATAGTAGATGCTAAATTGCATACTGTCTCACAAGAAGAAAAGTCAACATGGTATACTTGCTCTCGATGCACTTTTGGGGGTCCTTTGCAATCCTTGAGTCTCAAGCAAGGCAATTCTATTTCTTGAAGTTTAGGAAAATACATTTGCCATATTAGTTCAATTCAAAAACTAATTTAAAAAAATATGAGATAGAAATAATGACAGTTTATCAATTTCCAAACTGCCTTATGGTTTTATGAATGTGTTTTTATCTCCTTGATATTCCAGTAACTTTCTCCTTCATAAGTTGCTTTCATTCTTTCTGTTTCTCCAATAACAAAGACATGTTTTCTCTTATATTTTGGATGGGCTGCTGGTCTCTAGGCCCAGCCCTTTATGTGAGAGAGGCCAGTGGTGTGAATGCTGCCCTGTGGACCACATTTCAGGCTTTGCCTGCACGCTCTATTCTACTAGTTGTCCTAGGCTCACAGAGCCCTTTGAGAGGTACACAAAATAGCACCCAGCATCTCTCTGAATCCCCTTGGCATTTTGATACTTTTCTGAAATGTGAGTTCTCCATGAAGGTGGAAAGCACAGCCCACCCCTTCTTCCCCTCCCACAGCAAGGAATACTGGGCTCTGTATGTTGAAAGCATTCGCTAAATGTGTATTGAACTTGATTTTTTAACTTGAGCAGTTTTAACTAAAAATTGGACAAAAAAATCCACAAAACAACCAAACAATTAAACAAACCAAAAAAAAAAAAAAACAAAAAAAACAAAAAAAAAAAACCTAGCTAACAGATTGCCTTGGAAATGTAGTTTCTAGTCTGCTGAAGATATTATGTTATTGTTGTGTATAGGACTGCCTGTGTTCTTATTACAGGTTAAGTATGGAGTTGTTATAAGAAAGGGTAGGAGGTTCTTGCCCAATACCCCTCCTATTTCCGGATATGGGGACACAAAGGTGGAATAAAGTTACAGGGCTATAAGTGGCCACTTAGCAAAAACTAACAGCTTTAAAGTAAAGTGGTTCAGATGTTAAAATACAAAAGATAATTAAGGCAAAAGTCCCGGTACTGGTTAAGGAAATTTAAGACACTAGTTAGTGATGGTTCTGGGTTCAGGGTTCACAGCCTCCTCCTTTGAGACACTAACAAAATCCATGACTAGGAAAAGGCACACACACACACACACACACACACACACACACACACACACACACACACACTTTGCATCTGTTAGAGTTCACAAACACTCTGAAACCTATCTCTGGATACCTGGCTAAGCGACTGTGGTGACACTAGACACCGTCAGCTTTGCAATACGGAGCTCATGAGAGACAGAAGTGACGTCAACCATAATTCTGAAAGAAACTGTAGCTTAACCTACACAGGCGCTAGGCAGAGCTCCTGGTTCTGTGGCTCTTGCAGTACCTCTGCGCTCGCTCCAGTTGTCAACGGCCTATTTTACCACAGCTAAATAAATAAAGAAGGCGTGCTTTGTTCTTTCTGTGTCCCAGGGCTCTGCACAGTGCCTGTCACTCATCTGATAAGTTTGTTAAAGAAAAAGTGTACTAAAAACCAGGCTACCCAGTGTTAAGTTCTAGTATGGTTTGGTAGAGGTAAATATCTTTTCATTTATAAAGTAATGACACTAACCCAATATTTACTTTTAATTATCTCAGAACACTTGGTGTAGCATGTTTATCCCAAAGCCTGGGCTATGCTGTACCGGCTGTTAGGATTCTTGACCCCACCTTCCCAGTGTTGATGAAAACTTTAGCTGCAATTCTATCATCCGACTGGGAAGTGTTGTAGAACTCCTTCCTTGCAAATGCATCTCCTTGCCCTTGCTCCTTGTAAGAGGCCCACTCTTCCCAAGACCACAGGACTCCAGGCACTTGCTTTCCTCATCTCCCACACAATTGCTGGCCCAAGATTTGTCCTCTGCCTTCCTGGGCTCTCAGTGTGGGCTCTGTATCTTGAGCTCCACTTGGACCCTGGGACTGTAGTGTTTTAACCTCACTAACCTAAATGGCTTTTGGTGCCTTCTAGGAACAAGCCCACCTCACCCCTCACCCCCCCCCACCCCGACTTGCTCCACACAGGGGCAAGGTCAGATATGATTGCTGACAGAGGTCAAGATGGATAGTGGTTTATGAGTTATATACCTTCAAGTTTGATGTCTTGCAACATGGCCTTAAACCGATTCTCTTTTCTTAAAAGCCAAGAAGACAGTTAATCATCTATTTAAGTTAAAAAAAGCTTTTACAAATTTACAATTATTAGGTTTGTATTGAAGATGAGTTCACTCTTGTTGGTCATGCCAATAATCCAATTAGGGGAAAATGAACCCCTTCCTACTTCAAAATAAATCGCCACATAAATAAATATAAACAAAAGCATAAAACACCAGGGGAGGGGGGCTATCTCAATGGTTAGAAGGCTGAAGGTTATAGAACCAAAATCATGGTGACTGGGTGTGGGAGAGCAAGCTCCAAGCCTATACTTCTCCAAAGAAGGCTGGAATGCTTCTGCCTGCCCCTCCGCCCCAGGTCAGAAAGAACCCTGGGCACCAGGAAGTGTACCAGGTAAAACTTTCTTATGGAATTCTGTTTCCTTCACGTCCTGCACTTGTAGTTTCTGGAAAAGAGGAGACTGACCATCTAAACCTCCAGGAAGGGCATTCTTTTTGGCTAGACTAGCTCTGGAGGAAACCCCATCCCACCCACCCCCCCAAAAAAATCTCTACATTTGGAGACTGTGTATTGTAAAAGTTCTCTGACTGCCCACTCCCCAATTCTTGGGAGCCAGTGCACCGCCCCCCCCAAACACACATGAGAAAGAAAGAGAGACAGAGACACAGAGAGAAACAGAGAGACAGAGACAGGGACAGAGAAACAGAGAGACAGGAGAGACAAAGAAAAAGAGTTTCCTAACCAGTCTGTTTCTTTCCAATAGAGTGAATGGCCACAAAGGAGGGCTCCAAAATGAAATAAACCATACCCACTCCACCAAAGGCATTTAAAGGAAACAGTACAAGAAGGAGGCACAAAAATATCCATAAAAACAAAACACTAAAAATTAAAAGACCACTCAGACATGAGAGCTCATAAGAGTTAAATTATAGCCTTTAATCCCAGCACTTGGGAGGCAGAGGCAGGAGGATCTCTGTGAGTTCAAGACCAGCCTTATCTACAGAGAGTTATAGAACAGTCAGGGCTACACTGAAAAATCCTGTCTTGAAAATAATAATAATAACAATGATGACAAACATAATTCCTGTTGCACTTGAATTGCCAATAAATTGTGTACTTTTCTAAAACAGTTATAAATAAGGAGAAACTCCACACACTGACATATTCTACTAGAATGAAAATCTGAATAAAAGAATACACAGGAACAGTTAATCTGCACATCTTGTTTATGACCAGGAGGGAATGTATGTCCATTTTGCAAACTTTTATTCCCCACTGGAGACTTACACTGTCTCTGTCAGTAGAAACCCTGCTTAGAGTTTAAAGGGCTGTTACCAACAGTACATACCTTGACTGCTTTTTAGTAGTATCCCCAAACATCAAGTTCAGTCATATTGAAAATTTTAAAAGTAATGGAAGTTAAGCTATGCCTAGTTTCAGATGAAATTTCCTGTGTTTCAGATGCAGACAGTTCCCACTGTTGTTTTTGCCTTTTGCCTCTTTGATTTTGACCAATTATTATATTTTTTATGGACGCTAATAAGAACTTAGAGACTCAGTCAGACAAAAATATGGAGTCATGTCATCATAGATCAAAGTACGTGGAGGGGGCAGAATGGCCCCAATTACTAGCTTACTGCTGCCGCACAGCAATGCATTAAATAAGATGAAAGAACACAAGACATACTTGGTAATTTATTTTTGTGACTTGCAACCCACTGTGAAAACGATATCAAAGGGAACCATCTTGCCTTTGTTCTCTTTGTCTCCGTTTCAAACCTTCTGGGCCAGACTTTCAGATAACCCCTTTGTGGGTTGGCAGGGCCAAGCTTGCTTGGAGGAAAATCTGGGGGATTTTTCTGTATGTTGCAACAAGACTTGGTGATAAAGAGGCTGTGGTTGTAATCCTCCTCAGATACCCTCACACTGAGACCGAGGACAAACAGTTCATTTGCAGGTTTATTTTAGCATTTAGAAATGATTTGCGCCATCTTTAGTTTTGACCTTAGCTCTTATTTCTCAACATACACGGCAAGAACCCCATTCAGAGCAGCGAAGACGTTTGAAAGCAAATGCAAAATCACTGTGAATTACTTTGATGCAAGCCTAGTGTCGCTTGCTACTCTGTAACACAGCTGCTTCCCAACAGGCTGCTCTCCAGTGGTTCATCTAAGGTCTTCCCGAGTCCGC